GCCACCCCTTATGTGCTCGTTGCTGGGCACCACCCCACTCAATCCTGCATCAGCTGTCTGCGATTATTCCCACCTTACAACTGAGAATGCTGAGGTGTTGAGAAAGGGAGTGACCTGGTTGTGATGACGGGACAGGTGCTTGATGGGACAGGCACCAGGTGGTCCTGCAGGCCGTGGAAGTGACTAGGACCTGCAGAGGACTTCTTTCTCTAGGTGTGCGTTGGGGAGGTGCAGGTGGGCACAGGTGGGAAAAAGCATAGACCTCCTATCACATGGAGATGGACTTATTTCTTCTGTGTGGGGAAGGGGTGGAGGTCGGTGGGAGGAGAGGCAGTGGGACTGAGAAACTAGAACTCGAGGGCTATAGAGGAGGGAAACGTGGATTCGGAAATTCTACTAGGTGAGAGGGTGGAGCTCACCCATTTTCTCACCACTGCTCAGTTGAAAGGAGCCCGGTGGTGCAACAGTTAAGTGCTGGGCTGCTAATAGACAGGCGCCGACTGAGCTCCCCGGTGACTCCCAGGGAGACAACGTCTAGCCATCTGCCCCCATAACAATTGCCTAGGAAACCCTATGAGGCGGTTCTAGTCTGTCATGTGGGACATTGTGATGATTGGTGGTGGTCCTAGCCCTGTGTCTATGTCCTGGCCACCTTGGCTGGCTCAGCCCCTCCAGGCGGCTCCTTGGTCCTCCAGCTTGGATCGAAGGCCCCTCACTCTGGGCCCATGCCCTCCCTAGGGAGGAGCTTGGTACCTGGGTAGTAGAGAGCTGTGTGAGGGTAGGACCTGCCAGAGACCTCTTGCTTTAGCTCCAAGACTGTCTCAGTCCCTCCCTGGGTCCCTTTGCCCGAGCTGGGGCAGCTTGGGCCACTACCTTCCCCCCCTCCATGTGTCACTGCCCTAATGAGGACCACTGCCCTCTTTCGCTAGGAGGACCGTACCTGCTCCTCTAGGTTTGCCACCCCCCATGCCCCCCCCCCCAGCAATCATAGTGGATGTCCTCATCAAGAACTGAGCAGACTACTCCCTGCTTCAAGCCCGCCAGGGCTTCCCCGGGCCTGCGTCTCACCCATCCTACCATGGCGGGTCACACGCAGCACCCTGACCTCTCACCCCAGGGCTTTGCTCAGGGCTGGCCCTCCACACAGCTTTGCATTGTCCACCCTGCCTGGGGAACCTCTAGGACTTCTTGTGTCCCCGGGTCCGACCTCCTCACTCCCTCTAGCCTTTCCCTTACTGCCCTGGAGGCTACTGTCCTGGAAGAGGCCCTGGCCCGCTTGGCTTGGAGCCACAGTGCCCAGCCCTGGCAGGCTTACAGTGAAGCCCCTGACCATTGAGGAAGGACTCTGAAACTGCAGGCCAGTGCCAGGCCCCTCTGTGTGCCTCAGTTCTCCATCCGGCCAGGGGGTCAGGCGGGATGGCCTCCAGGGAGGGTGCCAGGAGGACCACTCTGCTCAGGAGCAGAGCTGACAGCTGCAGGGATGGCTCCAGCAGTGAACTGGGTGTGAGCAGACCTGGGCAGGGGGCATGGGCCAGGAACCTCCTCCCTGGCTGTCCCCTCCCCCAAGGGGCCTCCAGCCCACCCTGCATGGTTGGCATGGCAACAGCCTCCCCCAGGGGTCTGAGAAGCTGAGTCACAAGCCCAATCAGCTGCATGGTGGGATCTCCCCGTAGGGCAGCGGTTCTGTTCCCACCAACGCTCAGTGCGAGGCAGGGGGGCCAGCGTCACCACCTCCTAGAGCAAAGACTTGTATTTGGGGCCAGGATTGAGAAGGACAGCAGCATGGGCCTGAGAACAGGCAGGCCCTTCCAGCCCCAGCTCAGCTTCCGAGGACCCTGTGGCAAGCACAGCCGCGCCCCACCCTGAGCTTGGACCTTCTCAGGCCAGGCTGAGAGGGTGCTTCAGCCAGGACAGCGTTCGAGGCACCATGGAGGCTGTTCTGCCCCACCTGTCCATGGCCTTGTATAGAAGCAAAGCCCACGGGGGGGTCAGGGAGACACCCCCTAATGTCCCCTTGCAAGGGGGAGGGGGGCTGGAACTGCCCACCCAGCTCCGTCAGCCCAGAGCCCAGGGGGCCTGCCCAGGGGTTCTGGAAAGCTCTGGGCCCCACCCCACCACCAGGTTGAGCAGACAGGGTCTCCGGGGGCTGAGAAAAGGAGACACAATATCTAAGCCTGGCTGACCTTTCGAACGGGGGCTTCAAGCCTGAGCCTATGGGGCTGTCCCACTCTGAGAGACGTGGGTGCAAATGGGGTACCAACGGTGTGCGTGCTGTGGCTGGGCAGCTGGAGGAGGGGAGCTGGCGTTGCCTTTGGAAGGTAGGGGAGGGGGAGATGGGATAGGAGGAGGATCCCCCCCTGCACCACCAGGACCCCAGAATCGGGAGGCCCCAGATCCAAGACCCTGCTGAGGGCAGGATCCCTCTGTGGACCACCCTCCTGCCCCAGAGCAAGAAGCCACTGGGGCCTCCCTGTCCTGCCAGCCTATGTCCTGCAGGGACAGGGACCCCCTTCCTGACACAAACTCGCCGCCCTAGGTCTCCCCTCCCCCTAACTCAGGGTTGCAGGGACAGGGGCACCCCAAGCCTGGGGAGAAATGACGTGCCACCTGTCCTCAGCCCTCCCCGGCCAGCCCTACACATGGCACAAGACCGGGAGCAGGGCTCCCCATCTGGGCCCTTCAGCCCTGGCCTGGCTTCCTCTGCCCCCATGAGCTGGACAAGCAGGGCCCCCGCCTCAGCCCAGGAATAATGACGCCGCTTCAACCTGTGTGGTCTTTATTACCATCATCATCATCATCATTAGGGCATGAGACAAGACAGCACCCGCCCCCAGGAGGGTCACAAAACCTCCCGCCCGATACCGGCCAAGGGCAACTGTCCTCCAGGGTCACCCGCGGACTGGCTTCAGCAGCAGGACTGCCGGCAGGAGGCTGCCTGGCCCCAGAGGACCGACAGCAGACCCACCTGAAACATGCCTGCACACGCCTCCAGCACACGCCCCCACACGGCACACGCTCCCACGCAACTGGTGCGTTGAATACATAGAGTTCTTCAGAACTGTCAGCTACAGAACGAGCACCGTCCACTTCTTTTCCGTTAACTTCACAGTGACTGAGTGCAGAAGACGGTGTGAATCCAGTGTTGAAACCCAGGGCAGGTTCCCCACCCCCAGGAAAGTAAATTGCTTTCCCCACAGAAACGGCTGGGCGAAAACCAGGGCCCCATCTCCCTGCTTGGAGGGCGGCGTGGCTGCCTGTCTTCAGGGCTGCCCTGGGGCCTTGCCACTTGCTGGACACACACATCCACACACACGTATTCACACTCACAAGCCCGCTCACACACACGTGCTCACTCACATGCATTCACACTCACCCACACGCATTCACCTCACACACACACGCTCGGGAAGCCAGGTCCTGGAGCACATCACACCAGTGCAAAGCCCGGCAGATCGTTCCCGGCGGTGGGGGCCGGAGACCAGAACAGTCAGACCAGGGCCCCTCCACCCAGCTCTCCGGCAGAGGTGGTGCTGTGCACCCAGGCTGGCCGCCACGCACAACCCCCGCTCCCCACCGCCACACCAGGAGAGCCAGGCTCACAGCCATGAGCCACTCATCTGTCCATCCCTATGACCACTGAGGTGATTTCCCTCCAGATTACGCCGGCTAATAAATACGACCTCAAGTATTGTCAGGAGAAAAGAAAAATAACTTAAAGTTAGCAGGACTCTGTCCTCAGTGCCACTTCCAATCACGACAACAATATCCCAGGCAGTCTGTGGAAAACTGGGTGGAGGCTCTGCTGGGAGCAGGGGTCCCCCCGTGCCCCCCACCCCTCCTGCCGCCACAGCCACACAGCACCCAGCAGGCAGAGGTGTTTGGGAGTGGGCAGGAGGGGCAGGCCATTCTCACCCAGACTGCAGGTGGAGGGGCAGGGGGGACCTGCGACCCCGGCCCAGAGCCCGGCCCTCTGTTGCCCGCCCCCCTCCGTGGGGAAGGGAAGAGGGGCAGAGTGCTCCTGGTGAGGTGAGCAGCCTTCCGCCCCCCCGCCCAGGCCTTTGTAGATGACCAGACCCAGACGGTGGGTGAGCTGGAGGAATGGCTGTCAGGGTCAGGCCCACCCTCAGCTGTTTCCAGCCACGGCCCCACCCCTGGGTGCTCAGGGCACCCTGCAGGGAAGCAGCAGGCTGTTGCCCACCGCAGACAACTGGCAAACTCAAGAGGTGCTTTCTGGCACTAAAGAGAATCCATCTCCAAACCCTGCTCACTGGCAGAAGCGAGGCTCTCACCCTACTCCCCGCTTTCCTTGCCTACGGTCCTCACCACAATGCGCCCCGGAGGCACTCAGCTGCTAGCCGACTCTGCTCTTGACAGACCGGGGTCCCTGCTGGGCCTGCGCCCCTCACAACACCAGCTGGGCCGGTAGCCCCTGCTGGCACGTGCTGTGCCCCGGGCTGCCCCAGCAGGGGCTCCTGCTGCCACTGCCCCAGAAGTGGCCTGCTCCCTCCCCGAGGGCCTGTGGGGAACTCACTCCAACAACTTCTCTGACACACGCATCTTTCACCTAGCGTGGTGCCAGGCTCACAAGAGTAGCCCTCAGCGTGCCAACCGGGCACTCGCTCGGGAAGACACACGCCACCTCTCACAGAGGCGGCCGGAGCTCAGTGCCCGCTGGACACCCTCAGAGTGGCAGGAGGGGATGGAGAGAGGAAGATGGTGCTGGGGGCCCTTTGCAGGGAGAACCAGCACCCACGGGCTGCATCTCCACATTTGGGCTCAGGAGTGGGTGCAAGAGTGTGGGGTGGGGAGGGACGGTGTGGAGGAAGGCTGTCCCAGTGCCCCCCGAGCCCCGCATCTGAGGCCACGTTCCGGGAGGCAGCCTGAGGGGAGCTGTCCAGGCTTGGGGCTTCCACCTGGCCTGAGCCTCGGTCCCACATGGGGGCCCACCTTGGGGAACCAGTCCCTTCCCTTCCACCCTCGCTGGGGAGCCTCAGGGACCATCACGCCAGCAGGGACTTGACGAGGCCGCAGTGGAACTTGCGGACGTGGCGGTAGAGGTCCCCGGACTGCGTGAAGCGACGCTCGCACCAGCGGCAGGCGTGCGGCTTCTCGCGCGTGTGCACCACGGCGTGGCGGCTCAGGTTGTGCGAGTACTGGAAGCTCTTGCCGCACTGAACGCACGTGTAGGGCTTTTCGCCCGAGTGCGTGCGCTCGTGCCGCTTCAGCGTGTACATGCACGAGAAGGCCTTCCCGCACAGCGGGCACGTGGGCGCAGCGCCGTCGGGGGACAGCCGGGCCCGGGCGCTGTCGCGCTCGCGGAAGTGGGCGCCAAGGTGCAGCTGCAGCACGTGGGCGCTGGGGAAGAGCTTGCTGCACAGCGGGCAGACGCGGAGAGGCCCGTCCGGCACCCGTTCCGTGCCCGGCGTCCCGCTAACCCGCAGCGGCTCCAGGTCCGCCGCCAGGCTCTCGGCTGCAGACGCGCAGGGGGGCGGCAGGGGGCTGCGGGGGCTCTCGGGGCCGCTGCTGTCCTCCTGTCCGGACAGCGAGTCCTGCTCGGCCTTGACCAGTGGCTGGGCTGCTGGCTGCGGGCAGCTGCAGGTGGCAGGTTGGGGGGCGCGGGGTGGGCGCACGGGCTCCGGCCTCGGGCCCGGCTTCAGCGACAGGTCCAGGGCGCGGTCGGCCTCTCCTGGGGCCTGCCGGGGAGGTGGCCCGGCTGCTCGTGGGGGGAGGGCGGCCTTGGCCTCCACTGCGGGGACCCTGGCCTTCCGGGCCGCTGGGCAGAGGTTAGGTGTCCAGGCGGGCGGGGGACACGACGGCTCGGCGCCTGGGACCGCGGCGCCCCGGGCCTCGGCGCCCCGCTCCTGCTCCCGGAGCCGCCCCTTGCACACCTTGACGATGTCGTACATGTGCAGGTAGCTGGCGGCGGCCAGCACGTCTTCGACTGGCAGGCCGCGCAGGTCCAGGCGGCCTTCGTACATGAAGTCCAGCAGGCGCGCGAAGGCAGGCGCCGTGACGATGTCGCCGTTGAGCCGCACCGCGTCGCGGCCGCCCGCGGGCCGGTCGCGGTAGAAGAGGTGGAAGTAGACGCTGCAGGCGGCCAGCACGGCGCGGTGGGCCGGGAAGCGCGCGTCGCCCACCAGCACGGTGCAGTCGCACAGAAAGCCCAGCTCGCGCTGCTGCCTCAGGCGGCCCAGCAGCCGCCCGCCGTGCTCCGGGAACTCCATGCCGTTGCCGCCGCCCGCATCCCCCCGCGCAAGGGCCGGCGGGGAGGACGCGCAGCCGCCGGGAGCGCCCTGGCACCTGCCCCCGAGCAGGAAAAACTCGGCCGAAAGTAAACAGAAGCCGCTGCGCGGCTGGGCGGTCCGGGGCGGGGCGCCCAGAACTCCGCTCCCGACCCGGCCGTGAGAGGGGAGCGCAAGGCGCCGAAGCTCCGCCGAGTGCCGCGC